GTCATTTGATGGCTAAGATTATGTGGTGACTTGAGAATATTTTCGGTGTTTTATGTCTTGGCAGTTCCAAGCAAAAGCTTTTAAACACCATACATTGAATATAAATCAGACTACAGTTGTTATTAAAGATAAAAATGCTTGAGCTTTATTCCTTACTAATTAGTATTCCCAGCCTTAAAGAGATTACTGAGAACACAAGTTTGGCGTAGCAATTGTCTAAAATAATTACACGTAATTATTGCATCAATTTGTTGAATCTTTGGCATTTTAAACTAGGTGTGTTAGGTTTTTTTCCACATAAATTCTTATTGAGCTCCCAGTGGTAACTAGCAGGTTTCCGTTTTCTAATGAAAGAATTTAAAGGGACTCTCCAGTGCCAGGAAAACAAACCCATTTTCCTGGCACTGCAGGATCCTGCAGTGCCCCCCTCCCTTCTGCCCTCATCCCATGAAGGGGGAGGGGTGCAGAGCCTTACCCAGCGCTGAGGGACATGGCGCTGGAATCTGGTAAGTGGCTGACACTGGAGATGCATGAGGATGTCCAACGTCAGATAACGGCCCAAAGGTTGGTTTGGATTCTGGAAGCCATCTAGTGGCTGTCTGATAGACAGCCACAGAGGGCAGACTTAGAGCTGCAATGTAAATTAAGTGCTATAGGGGCACAGTCCTAGACCACTTCAATCAGCTGAAGTGGTGTGGGTGCCGGGAGTATCCCTTTAAAAGACAGCAGGTTAATGATAATATGGAGCAAGCCATCAACCATATCCTCCCTTGTGTATCCACATTCCAAAAAAATACTCCAGCCCAATTAAGCTTACCCAATGGGGTATCACAGTGCTGTTACAATACCTCACAAAAAGTTAATGTGAGCCGTTATGTCCCTCTGGGTGAGCCGTGCGATCGTCAAACTTGTATGCTACTCATATGTCCCACCAGGTGAGACATACGATTGGAATGAGAATTAAAATGTCCCACCCTGTGGGATAGTCGAGGGGAAAGGGTTGAGCAAAAATATTCAAACTGAAAATTGTTCCCATTTGGCTATTTTGACCTTAAAGTGCAGATTCAGTTTAAAGTCTTTTTTTAAAATTTCCAACTGTTTCCACTTGTATGACTAACACTGAGTATATAATTTTGAAACTCCTTGAGGAACTGCTGGATTCTAATGAGAAAATGTATCAGCCAGTGGGAGAGAGCTCACAGTTCTAAAATGTAATCTTTATTTGTGATTGACAGTGAGATTTTTAATTGAAGTTTGTAAAAGTGTGCGGGGTGTAGTCTAATACTACTGGAATTCTGAGATTTTCCATGTCTATCATTTTATGAAAAGGAGTTTTTTATAGTTTGTTTTGTCTCCTACATTGACGTTGAATCTTTTAGCAATTCAGTTCTTCTTTTGTGTTTTTTCATTATGGCTGAATCTACTACTGCCTTTTAGTCTAGTAACAAACACATCTTTCTCTTCCTGTTTTCGCATTTGGTTTTAAAGTGGTTGTAATGGATTGTGTTTTGTGTGACATATAAACTCCAAAATTTCATCCTGTTTTGAATTTTTTTTCATAAATTTGAAGATGACAACATAAAAGTGCATTTTTAAAAATAAAAGATTTAAACAATATTGCTCCTTAGACTATAATGTCCATGTTAATGCAAGCACCATTGAGAGTGGTTCTGTGCTTGGCACTAACCTTGGCACTAACCTTGGCACTAATGACTATATCATGTTCCTTTAGAAAGGGCATCTTAGGAAATTTAGTTTACAAATGCATTCCCTACGTTGTCCGTACAGGGTTATTACTGGTCAAGGTAGTGAAATACGGATGGAAAGTGAAGGATAAAAATTGTAAAAGAATGCCATGTTTGCTTCATGGGGCTCTGCCCTGCTCTATTGCCTTGCATTATAGGACTGCCAAGAAAACAAAGTTTGCAATATTTGATACTGAAGGCACCATAACCACCTCAACAGACTGAAGTGGTTATTTTTCCTGAAGTCTGTAAGCAGTAGGTCCCATGTCACTACTAAATGATTTACTCACTGTTGGTAAAGATTCTCACTCAGTCCTCTTATGCTGAAAGACTGGCCTCCAATGATGAAGTGGTAGAGGCAGAGCTATGCTTCCACCGTACACCATACCAATTTACCCTGTTTGGGACAGTGATTGGCTGATGCTTTCAGTCAACTATTGTCCACTTCTCCTGCTATGGCATGAAGTGATTCATAGCTCCTACATTTTGTCATTGGACGCCTGAGGCTGGTTTTGGATTGAAAATCTCCACCAAAAAGTGAGAAAGTAGCTACTTTATTATGAGGGAGCCAGCATACTCTAGGCACCATAACCACAATCTGCTGAAAAGCAGCTTATGAGTCCATTCACTAGACCGTTAACACAGTAAATTGAAAAACACACTTAAAGTGTTTGTCATGTTATACATAAGTGTATATTAAAAAGTAAATGTTATTCTCCTAGCATTGTGTTCAGGAATTAAAATCAAATGTATCTATTGGGAGGAAAACCTATTTAAAAATATGGTCCCTTTCTCACCTGTCAGTCTGTTCTTTGGCATAACCTCTATGCTGTAGAATTGACAGAAGAACTCTCCTACAACTACCAAAGGCTAGTATGAGATCGGGAGGCTAGACGTATTTAAAGGGAAGAAAATATTTTAGAGGGACTGGATAATAAATCTTAATATAAAAATAGATTGTAAAATTAAATTTCCCCATTTTTAAATGTAGCTTGGTATGGTTATTCTTCCAATATATTTCTTAGTAACTCCATAACACAGCGATTAGTTCTATGAATATCGGGTCATTGGCTATAGATAGTTAAAAAGAGACGAATAAATCACTGCTAACTGACTAGGAAACGCATGAATTGTGTATCTCTAAATCCTATATAACTGTAGCATTACCATTGTAAATAAGAGAATTGGGAGGCTAGACTAAAGATATCTTGGAGGGACTGGATAATAAATCTTAATATAAAAATAGTAAAATTAAATGTCTCCATTTTTAAATGTAGCTTGGTATGGTTACATACCCAATATATTTCTTAGTAACTCCATCACACTATAAATATCGGGTCGTTGTTGCACCGTTTTGAGAGGGATTAGACTGTTACTCACTTCCTGCAGGCACTTGGGTTCCAGGTTTCATGTTTTGTGGTGATGGGATACACACAGATGGAGTAAGTAAATTAATTAAGTAATCACATGCATTTGGTGTATAGAAGTGATATTGCAATGATTGTAATTTGTCTTGAGAAAGGGCCACGAGTGGGTCTGAAACGTTGACGCTGCTAAATTCATGTTTTTACTTTTTCATAACAAAGTCCTGCGAGTGTGTACTCCTTTCCAATATTTGAAGAATGTATTATAGTTCCACTGTGGAGCACCAAGGCTATATTATCTCAAGATTTTTGTGGTTGAAAACAGTGAATATATATATATTGCTTTGACGGTACATGAGATCTTTTCCTGTGTACACTCATTTCATGTTCTGGGATGATTTTTATGTAATGGGTCTGCACCATTATTAATATAGCAGAGCCTCAAATCTAGATCTCTCGTCTGTACACTGTACTAAATAAGCAATTACTAATAATGTATACAATCGGAGTTATTTAGATTTGAATCTTGCTTGTATGGAACAATTTCTGGTCCAGTGACTTTTCTTGGCTCAGTCTGTATGTCCCTTCTCATGTATTATTTGCAATGGATGATACTTTTAATTCACTTTAAGGTGCAGAAACATAAACAGCAAAGAGCAGTGTTTGCTACATACCCTTGAGTGTCCCTATTGATGAGACAGTCCAGAATCCCTCTGTCCCTCATTTCTAGGAGCTCCATATTAATGTGTCTGAGTGTATAACAGAGATTCACAGCAATAATACAGAAACTACAATAAATGTGCTTTAGCAATCCGTGTGTAAATAAGATACATTATTCTTCTAAATTACATTTTAGTTGCACTAATTATTAGTAAGTCACTCACATTTCTCAGAACTGACCCATGCCACACAAACCCTTACAATTAAACAGTGCTTATTTGAAATTTTAGGATGCAATTAGCTAGGGCCTGGGTATTTGTCAGCCGTTCTCTCCGAGGTGGGCTCTGGCTATAAAGAATGGAGGAGACGAGGGAGCTGTAATCTTCTTGCTTTGCTCCCTTGCGCACCCTGCAGTGATGCCGGAATATGACATCACTCCAGCCCCGACATCACTAAATGGTGCTTGAAGATAAGAGCTGCCCCACAGGACCCCAGGAAAAGTGGATCCACTCCAGCTCTCCCAAAGTTAGGGAGACTGGATGGACTTATATTGAAATAAAACAAATAATAATTTGCAAGTATGAGAGAAAATTAGCGTGTGCATCTGTTTGTCTGTCAGTGAGTGTGTATGTATGTTTAGGTTATCTGCCCGCTTCCCTGTGAATGGTGTTTTAACGCACCTTTTTTCCCACACCGCGCTGGTCTTGCCGTGGCCCTGCTTCAGTGGCTGAGATCAAGCTTGATGATCTCAGCCAATTCATTGATTTCCCATTGGAAAGCATTGGTAGGTAATTGCGCATGCACAGCAAAACATTACGCAAATTAGCATCTCTATGGGAAACATGCAGAGCCCCCATGCAGAGTGAATACACTGAATGTAGGTGCTGCCCACTGTGCACCACTGATATAGGAAGCACTTTGGTGACTTCCACTAGAGGTGTTCGTACAAAGAAATGAAAATTACTTGAGGTGCAAAGGCTGTGTTTAAATTGAAAAATCTGCAGTGACAGGTTGCGGAAACCAGAACCACTATATTCAACTGAGAGCAAGCAGTTTTATGCGCTTTATTCATAGCAATATTTAGAGGGCAACAGTAGTCTATGCATAGTCTTGACTAGAATTATTTTAAATTAAAATACAACGTATAACAGTTTGTAAGATATGTAACTAACCTTTCTTAACTTTTGGACAGTATTGATTCAAAAACACAATTTTTATATTAGCTTGGTATGGGAAGCAAAACTGCTCATGAGACTTAACCTATTATACAGTCCATTTTCCTTTCGGCATATGCAATAGAGTCTCTATTAATGTGGCTTTGTCACTGTCTGGGGTCTTTGTATATTTTGCTGCTTTGTGTCCAGTTGCCGTGGGGTGCAGGAGAACGTGTGCTTTACTTACCTGAACCTGTCCCTCGCGGCCGTTCCATGGTCTTCCTGACTGTCCTCTTCAGCTCCTAAAAGTTAATCTACCAGGATCCCACTGTCTCCTTCACACTGCGGTCTATGGAGGAGACAGTGGGATCCTCCACAGACTAGTCCTCTGCTCCTCTCCTGCCGACATCAGCCGGCAGGGGAAACCTAATGCACATGCATGGCAATGGCCGCGCTTGCATTAGGATTTCCCCGTAGGAAAGCATTATACAATTTTGAAATTTCTATTTTACATTTCTTCTAATGTACTTTGCAAGTCAGACACTCACCCTTTGTGTTCCAAATATTAATTTCAGTTTGTAAATGCACTTACGTTAAGTAATGCATTATAACTATTGTCGGTATACCAGAACATCATATCAGGTTAAAAAAAAATAAAACAATTGTATTTAAAAGACTTTTGCATGTGACATCGTTAAGAATCACATGACTTGTATACAAGTAATTAGGGTGATGCTCCAACTCATTATATATTAACCACGTGATTCATGTCCCATGAATCGGAGTTATCTCTATAGTGATTAGATTAAAGCATTTAAAAAAAAATTCTGTGCAATTCAATCTACAAAGTGCTTTTATTAGTACTTAAAAGTTAAAGGACAAGTATTGTCTGAAGTGCAGTTTGTGTTTAATTATTAAATGTTCAACCTGAGCAAACATTGTAAAATATGGCTTGGATTGTTCTGGTTGCTTCTTTGCTGCATTTTAATTCTGCTAAGATTAAAATGTGTTTATCGTGCACTTGCAATAAATTCAATTGACAAAAAACAGACTAGGTTTGTTAAAAAATAAAAATACACATATATATATATATATATATATATATATATATATATATATATATATATATATATATATATATATATATATATATATATATATATATGTGTATATGTGTGTATAATCACTAAAATGTAGCCTATTTTAGAACACCATACTCTGAAGATCTCTTGTAGCTGCTACTTGTTCTTTAACCAAGGGTTTTCAGTGATAGCAGCTTAGGTCCCTTGCTTCCCTTTAAAATGGTATTTTACTTATTCCTTTTCCAGCTTTGTAATGGTCTCGCTAAACTCCCTCTCCCCTCCTCCATCTTGCCTCCAGGTCTGAGATTATCAGGTTTCACAATCTCAGCCAATCCAGTAGGAAAACATTGGAAGGCTATTGCACATACATAGCAAAACCAGCATCTCCTCATAGAGGCATTGAATCAATAAATCTCTAGGGGAGCGTCTGGCGTCTCCATGCAGAGTGTGCAGCACTGACACAGGAAGCACCTCTAGTGACTGTCTGAGTGGCTGCCACTAGAGGTGTTACTGGGTTCCAATGTAAACACTGCCTTTTCCATTGACAAGGCAATGTTTACATTAAAAAGCCTGCAAGGACAGGGTGTAGACTCCAGAACAACTACATTGAACTGTAGTTGTTCTGGTGTCTATAGTGTCCTTTTAATCCTTTAATTGTCCAAGTTATGAAACAAAACCTCGAATTTGAGCCATGTCTGTTTAACTGCAATTTACCTCTTTCATATTTCATTCCAAGGTTGTTTTGATATATGATCTGCAGAAAACTTCTCTGCGTTACTGTAGTACCGCACCATGTCTGGACTTCCTGCTTTAATGAGGTCTGTGAGGGTAGAAGCTCTAGTTGCAAAATGTGGTATAAACCATCTGTAATGGGCAACAATCCCCAGAGAGGCTCTAATTTAGGTCTTTCTAAGTGGCTAAGACCAATTCTGTATGGCTTCTGCTTTGTTAATCTGGCATTTCACTACCCCTCTCCCAACACTGTAACACAGATACTTGACCTTTGTCATACCAATAGAACATTTAAAGAAATTAGCTGTTAGCCCAGCATTTCTGAAGGTGTTCAACACATCCTCTACCTTCTGCAGGCGCGAGTCCCAGTCTGTGCTATGAATTATATAAGCAAGGTATGCAGCTGCCTACTTGGCATGAGGTCTGAGCAACTTGTCAGTCAGCCGCTGGAATGCCACGAAGGCCAAAGGGCATTACCCTAGGACTAGGTGAAACAAGCCATCTGGAGTAGCAAATGCAGTTTTCTCTTTGGTATGGTCTGCTTTTTAGTTAAATCCAGAGTAGAAATCCTTTTCTCCACCAGCTCATCCACCCATGGCAGAGGTTATAAATGACTCCAGAACACTGATATGACCTCTATATTTCATTATAAGTTTAGGCTAAAGTTAGTGCGTTAGAGTTGGTGTTAAGGCAAGGGTAGTGTAGTGTTAAGAGTAGGTGTGAAATGTTATGGCATACAAGGATGTGCATTGAGGCTTCTACAGTCATTACAGAACCAAATGTATCCATCTGACTTGGGCACCAAAATGATGGTTTGGACCAATTACTATGAGAATCTTTAATAACCCCCAACTCTAACAATTCCCTGATTTCTCTCCTGACTGAATTCCTTTTTGCCTTGGGTATCTTGTAGGGCTTTGGTTTAAAGGGACACCATTTAGTAGATATGCCATAAGTAAAAACTTGCATGCATTTAAATATGCACTTTTTAAAAAAAAATTTATTGGGGGTATAGCTAAAAACAACTTGCACAATCTGCAGTTCTCTTGTCTGCAGGCTTTGCAAACCCTTTTCTTCTTCTGCAACTTAGACTTTCTGTGGCTGTCCAATTATACTCCCTTATGCAGCTCAATGAGAAGTCTTCGCAAGGCAGGTGCTCTGAGCAATTGCATTTTGAGTTTAGCTTCACTGAGCTAACCAAACCAAGAAGTAACAAGACCACTTGTCTACTTGAAAGCATTTAATTTCTATTAAAATCTGCACTTTTTGCAAAATGAAGAGGACACACTCTTCACACGCACAGCTTTTTAGCAATATAAAGTGCTTTAGGGGTGTGGAGTGTCCCTTTAATAGTAACTCCAGGTTCTTGTGAAAAATTTTGAGTACTACCTGGCATGGGGGAGAAGACACCCAAATTTCATTCCACCATGTCCTTAACTTCTTCCACTTGGATAGGTCTTATCTCGGTGGAATTAGTCACTGAGCATTCACAAGACTGGGGATCAATTTGGGTATGGTCCAAAAGGGATACATGTGCCTCTCTGTTACCATGGTTTCAGAAGGTTTACATGTAAAACCTGCCCTTTATTTCATCAGTCAGGCTGACTAACGTTTGTAGTTAACAGGACTAATCTTTTCTAGGATTTCATATGGACCTTGCCAACAAGCCAGAAGTGTACTAATTACTTTTGTAACAAACACTATCACCCTGGGTACACTGCATTACTGTATCACTCTGATCTTAATAAAGTGTTTGGGCATCTTGTGCTGTCAAACCAGAGGAAAGATGTGAGCCATCCCTGTACCTTTTCAAACAACGTTTTTCTTGCCAGTCAGGCTCAGTTTCACACACTCTCGGTGTCTGTGATCAGCAGCCTAATGAGAAAATCTCAGCAGGCGCAATAGGGCAGGGCAATGTTAATAAAGTAGCTGCTGAAGCGGCTACAAGTATTAACCCTAGTAGCAGGGGGAAAGTGCACTTTCCATGTGCTGGCTTATGTACCTGCTCCTGGTGACCCTGTCACTATATATTTTATACACTTGTACTGAAATTTTATAATTTCACTACAAGTGTATTGTGATGTATATTATGTAATCTTAGTGAATATAAATCGACAGACCTGTCTGATGACACAGGCAGTCCCCCAGGAGCCGATCCAAGTTTTTGTGCTTTGTATAATGCTTCATTTGTGTTCTGAAAATCCCCTGCAATCAGAGCCCAAGTTACTGGAGGTACTTAAGAAATTAATTTGTCTTTTAAGATTACTAATATTTACACAGCATCCACAAGTTTCAGAGTACAAGGATGGAAGGAAATTTTGTGTGTATTGGTTTCTTGTCTGTTAAGTTTGTAAACACTTTGTAGATATTATGACCATGTAAGTTTACCTTTGGATAATATCAAGGTTATAAACAGAGTATTTCAGGAAATGTTTGACGAATACCCCTCTGTCTCATTAGAGATTTTTTTTTTTATACCTGAAGCTCAAAGAAGCTAGGTGAATTGTTAGCCTAGGACTAACCTAAGAGGTTTGCCTTGATGCAGGTGCGCTTACACTTAAATGGCCATTGGATTGATACTAGAAAACAGTTATTTAAATGTGCAAGTTACTTTTTTTGGTTTGTATTTTATTGTATGCATTGGGACTGATATATACTATAGTCATTGCTGCCGTCCAGGAGTAGTGGTAGTTTGAGCGCAGAACATTTTATTTTTATATACGGAGTATTTCAGGACTCTGATCATGAAGTAGAGCAATCACACTGGAAGCCTTTGTTATATTTTCACTGATGACTACACTTTTACAACTTTACTCCAGAATTGCCTCTCTCTCACAAAATAATGAAATAATACCATTGAGGGATTCTGGGCATCTCCTAATAACGGTTTATAAATGACTCCAGAACACTGATATGACCTCTATATTTCATTATAAGTTTAGGCTAAGGTTAGGGAGTTAGAGTTGGTGTTAAGGCAAGGGTAGTGTAGTGTTAAGAGTAGGTGTGAAATGCTGCCTTTGATTGTGAGAGTTCTAAACCAAAGTGGCATTACAGGAATGACGTCACTTTACAGTTGAAACTGTTAAAATTTTAGAGGAACGCACAATGTCCTGGGGCAGACTTTTTAAACAAGATTTTTGTTAAATGTCTGCACCCGAAGCCTGGTAATGGTACCTAAAACTCTTTTTAAACTTGAGTGGAACTACTCAGATAGCAAGCTATTCAGTGTCTTACAGAATTGTATTGGTTTGAATTCAGACCAGATAAGACTTCTTAAATGTAATCTTGTTAGTTGATGTCAATTCTATTTATTCGGTGTCTTTATGAAATGTGCTTTCTAATCATCACGGTTATGTCCTTGTGTGACTATCTTTTGACATGCTTTCCTTAGTGAAGCCCTAAGTGCCACAGACGCAGATGGATCATGGATTGTGGTGCTTTCTGAGGAAACCTATAATATCCTTCCACGTTGCAGGGTACAATCAAACCGCATATACAGTGAGGGAAATAAGTATTTGGTCCCCTGCTGATTTTGAACGTTTGCCCACTGACAAAGAAAT